GCAAACCGACAAGGCTGTTTCTCAGAGGAGAGCAGCAGCAAGTCAAGCATTCACAGAGCAGCTTTATAGCCCGCAAGAGGAATTTCATAAGCTGCTTAGGAGTTGCATCATAAACTGGGGTGGGGTTGATCCTTTAGCAAACACATGTTCTTAAGGGATGTTAAGCAAGTTAAGTTCCACACACTAGACGGGTCCCAGTTTATAGGATTAATATGTTGGTACCTCAAGGAAACAAGAGTTGTATTTGGATTTTTTTTTGGTTTTTTTTTAACCACAAATACATTCAATATTTACTAACTGAAGGGATTATACTAGTTACACCAACACTTTGAAAGTTGCATGTAAAATGTTATGATAAAGAGATAATTGAACACAGCAATGAGAAAAAAAAAGCAGCAGCAGTAGGGAGATTTGCTCATTGAACTAAGCTTCTTTATTCTTGCAGTTAATTCCTGTCCACAGTGATGATAGAAATTTTGTCTGATTTTTCATAGAACCAAGTACAGGTGACATTTTTCATGACACATTTCACCACTAATTTCCCATCTTTCAATTTTCTTATAAATGTGCTTTCCTTCCCATCCCATTCCTGATGCTGAACCAATGTGCTGTCTACAAAGCTACAAAACATCTGAGTTTTTATGCCATCAGCTACAGTTTCTTCTCTCCCAGGGTACAAAAAAAACTATGTTGTTTTCAAGGTGCTTTCCATTTCTATGTGAATTTCTGTTTTTCAAGAGTGATGATACACTCTGACTTAGCCATTGCACCCATTTTCCTCATAGTAAGTCCCTCTCTTAATTCATTCGTGTAACCATCAAAGCCTTTATAGTCCACCAGGTGCCATCTTCCTTCCAGATGCTGAATGGTGGCCATGGTGGGTGCTGGTGCTGCTGTGTCAGTAGAATAGGAATGTGGGCAGTTTGCTGTTGTATTTGAGTTTTACCATCATATTTTACAGGGCTTTTCATTTTTGTAGGAAAGAAAGAAAAAGTTGCAAAGTTAATTAAATTGATTAGTATCTGATAATAATAAAGGGGAGTAATCAATGGATCACTGTCACCATGAAGGGCTTGATAGTAGAATGTCACAAGGCTCTGTCCTCAATTTTATTCTTGATGGCACTTTATTAATAGCTTTTATATACACATGTAGTACATGAAAGTATATATTTTATATATCCCTATTTCTTTAATATATAAATGTTGTGAATGTCTCTATATAAAATAGCTAATCTGCAGCTGACCCAAAACTGGATGGTTTAGTAAAGACATTCTCTGATGGAAGCAGGATCCCAAATATAAGCTCAGATATCACCTCATTTAGGACACCTGAGATAGCCCAATCTCTGTTCTAGGTCTGTGTTCAGGACTCCTCCTTTCTAAGATACCTGCACGTATTCATCAGTCTTTTCTTCTGCCTTCCTTGAATGTCCCTTTCTATGCACAGATAGCGGTTGGCTTCCTGTCAATTTTCCCAGTATCTCATACAGTGGTTAATGAACCAGTGACCCAGGCTGAAAACCTGAAACTGTGAAACTGAAATTCAATAGTGATGACTGTAAAGCCCTGCCCTTGGATCCCCCTTAAGAAACTAAACAAGCAGAAGATAGTGAATAAGTGGCTTACTCAGAGCTTGCATGGAAAAAGAAAGATAAATTTAGATAAGAATAAATAAATTTAGATAAGATGGCACCTGGTGGGCTGGGGTTTTGACTCAGTGCTAGAGTGCTTGCCTAGCACATGTGAGGCACTAGGTTCAATCCTCAGCACCACATAAAACTAAATAAATAATGGTATTGTGTCTGTTTACAACTTAAAAAAATATTTAAAAAAGAATAAACCCACCCTGTAATAGTAGATATCACTTTTTCCTTTCCCCTCCAAAATTCTAAACTATTGTGACCTCTATCAAGTTGAATGAAAGTATATGATACCTAAAACAACAGATGTGAGTCCCTGTCTGAGCTGAAGAGACATACCTATGGTGTTATGTTAAAGTCTTGAGTGGTACATTTCAAGTAGGAAATAAAAAAACAACTTGTTCAAAGGCAAATCACTAGGATTTTGAAAAGGCTGAAAATATTACAACAGTTATTAATTTTTTCATTAATTTAAAAAATTTATTCTAAATATATAATATTTTCCGGGCAACTGGGTAAAGAATATAGAGAAGTGGAGAAAAATGTCTAGTATCAATCAAAAGAAACAAAGGTATTTTTTGGATAAGCAAGATAACCCAGATGAGAACAAGCAAAAGCTATTTATTTCGAGTTTGCTATATCACCAAGGTAATCACCCATGATCACTACTTGGCAGACTCAAAGGCAGGAAGGGAAATGAGAAAGCTTTATAGTGGGAAAAAAAAAAAAAAGTGGCCCAGGAGGCTTCAGGTCTGCTGTGACTGGAGACTAGTGGCATGGAGAAGCTAAGAACAGAATAACTACAAGCAGGGCTTTCTATGTGACTAGTTTGGAGATTCTATGTGGCCTTCTCCAGTTGGTTGTGAGTTGGAAGTGGGAGCAAAAATTGGGGAAGCTGGCAGTCAGTGACCAAGCTCTGACCTTTCTGGCATGATTGCTGCAAACTAGTTGTTGCAGAAGTTGCAAGTCATAGTCTATCATGTGGTCTGGCCATCATTCATTTGTATATTCAGTCTCTAATACTTAACATTGAGAAGAAAAAACAGGGAACACTGAAAACTGCATTCAGTACATTGATGACTGTATTCAAGTATGTTAACCTTCAACATTCTGTGTTGAAAAGTTTTGAATGGTCTCAATGGATCAAATTAGGACCTGTGCATGGAAAAGTTGTTCAATATAAAAAAAAATTCTAACTTATTGTCATCTAGAAGCAATCTCAGACAGGAACTATTAGTTAAGGGAAGAATCCAGATATAGGCTGGGTGAGTTCTTTGCAGTGATGTTGCAAAATAAATCACAAACTTCAGCAGGCATTGAATCACTTGATACTTTTGTTAGTAATGCAGAATTTTGGACTCTGTCCTAGATCTGATGAATCTGATTCATGTTGTATGCCAGATGATTTTCTCAAGAAGTATTTGTAGAAGGAATGTACACACTGTAAAAGCAGTTGGACTAGATGGTTTGTAAGAGTCCTTCCACCTGAGAGTCTAATATTCTAACTTTTTTATACCATTGTCATAACCAGGAAGTAAGCCACTCATTCACTTATTTAATAATTAATTATTTAATAAATAAATTATTTAATAAAATTAATTGGGTAGATTACATTATGTCCACACTCTAGGCCTGCATTTTTATGTATTAGCATGGGGCATTTCTATATTCCAAGGAGACAATAATGAAAAAACAGCTCATTTATTCTTTTTTCAAAGTTTTATTGAGTATCTAATATGTGCTAGGGTATTGCACTAGGCTCTGGTGAGATAGAGAGGAACCAAACTGATAAAGTCCCCTTTTTCCAGAGCTTAAACTAGTAAAAGAAATATACAAAATGTATGTGTAGGAAATGATGATACCTGATAACAACAACAACAAAAAGTTGTGAGAACACCAGGCCAGTTCTGTACTTTTGCTCTACATCATAATTTAAATTAAAATCAATCAAATTATTTATAGAGGAATTAGTGTGCTGTATTTCCTCAGATTTGGTTTAGGTGTTAAGTAAAAGTTGAAAAAGCTTTGGGGCCTTATTCCAGGACTACTATGAGGCTTCAAAATGGCACTTTGTACTTAAAACCTCTCTGATATCAAAATCAGTAAATACATTGTTGAATAAACCAGGATGATTCTGGGTATTTTAGGAAATGATTTCAGATTCTGAATCCATTAGGTTCTGACACCTGTTTCTAACCCTACCCTATTGCAATGGAATGAATTTCTGCTGTATTTTTTAAACATGTTCTTGTCCATAACACCATGTCTTCTGCTGTGTGATATACAGGAAGGCATGAAAGGTAAGAAATAGCTGCCTAGGATCCAGCTCTTTGAACAATTAGCTGTGTGTGACCTTGGCCTCTGTGGGTCTCATTTTTATTTTTATTTTTTTCCAAAATGTTAAATAATCCTTAATTAGCCCTAAAATTCTGATTTAGTTAAACTAAATGGGGAAATGTTATTTCACACTTGCCTCTCCTCCTGCCCTCCTCTCTACCGCAATAATGTATTAGAAGCTTGATCAACACCATTGAAATGAATGATGAAATAATTCACTTTCCTAATAAGGATATTTTTGTGACCCTTGACTGAAGTCTGAGGTCTTAATATCCACCTGCTTATCCAGTCTAAGAGACTGGACTCTCTGGGAAGATTCAACTTTCTAGAAAAAGAACCCAGTACTGAGAAGACCTAGCAATCTGTCATCTTCCCAGATTTCAGTGTCTATAATATTCACTGTTACCAAGTTTCAGCCTCAATAGACCTTTCTAGACCAAATATAATGCCATCTATATCACTTATAGTATTCCCATTGTCTAAAGACTTGTGCTACACTGTCCACACCTGTCTGATCAAATTTCTTCCAAACAGACATCATGCCCAGGTTCCCCCTTTTTGAGGAGCAGAATGACAGCATAGTTAGTACTCATGAATCTGGTCCTCTCTAGTTCAGGTTTGCTCTTTTGATGTCCCAATTTGCCTCTAAAATCTTCCCAAGGTGTGTGGACAGATACACACACACACACACACACACACACACACACATACACACATGAGACAGAGGTACATATATACTTACTTGTAACAATCCTTCAGCTAAATCTTACCAGTTTTCATAATTAGTCCACTCTAGAAATGTTATTTTAAAAAATTAAGTGTATATATACTACTAGCTCTGAAATTAGCTTTTAGTTTTAATTTAAAAAATTAACCTCTAGCTTTTAGACTTCTTCCTATTTAAATAATTGAATAATTTGAGGAAATGATCAAGCTAGGCCAAGTAATTAATAATTTTTCTTGCCCCCACAATTCAGTCTTTTAAAATGTATTTTACTTTTCTACAATTGCCAGAGCTTCTCCTTGTGAGGCTGAGCTTCAGGAATTAATGGAACAAATTGACATCATGGTAAGCAACAAGAAATTGGATTGGGAAAGAAAGATGAGGGCTTTGGAGACACGATTAGATCTTCGGGATCAAGAGTTGGCAAATGCACAAACTTGTTTGGATCAGAAAGGTCAAGAGGTACTTAATGCGTGTATTAATAAATCATAATTCATCAGACTCTTACAAATAATATTTATTCTATTATAACATTTTTCATTATAGATACTTTTACTCAGGCATCTGCAACAGCATTTATTACTTGACATTCTGCCAACAAATACTATGCTTAATGTACTCCAAGAAATAAGCATAGAGAATAAATCCAGAGATACTTACTGATGAAGATGGTCATATAGTGTCAATGCCATCTATAAAAGTAAAAAAAAATTACTGTATATGTGAAATAAATATTGTTTCCAAACAAAGATGTAAATGCTTGCTACTATAGAAACAAAGAAGTGGCTATCAAAACTGTGTCTTTCTTCAAGGCAGAGTTCAAGAGCATTTGCCTCCTCTAATCTGGGAGAAAAAATACTTCCTGAAAATTAGGTGTAAGAATTGATTGTGGTAGGACAAAGAAGAATAGAGTATGGTTAAGATGTGTGTGCAGCTGAGCACCCACCCTCAAGGAGCTCCCTCAGACCCTGCTGGGCTGCTCATTGCCAAACTGGTGGTCAGAGAATGTGAGAGCGTTCTCAGGCCTGGGAAGTTCAGGAAAACGATATGCCTTACCTAGCACTGACTTATGTGTGTCTGTATTTGGCAAGGGGGTGAGGTTGGTGAATGAAGCATAAGAGAAATGTTTACTAATCATATATTAAAACTTCATCAGTTAATTTATTCATTGGCTACTTTTCTACCTTTATTGGCCTTTCAATAGATTTTGTTATTTGCATAGTTAACTATATTATCATTTGGCATGGTTACCTTAGTTTTGGGGATCTAGTTTCCTTTCTCCTAAGAGGAAGTTATCAGTCCTGGCATATGCCAGGGATTATTCTCTTACTTCTATACCTGTAAGAACACAGATATGTAAACAGTTGCCTTACCTACATTTTAAACAGACAAATTTAATAAGCCAAATCCTTAACAACTGTCCGTAGCCATTTTTCTTTTTATTATGTTCATTCTTATAAAAATGTAACAGCTGTTTATAGCACCACTAAAGCAGAGCTCACTTTGCAGGCAGGAAAAAAATGAATTATGCTAGTAGAGGTTTTGCCTAAGTATTGATGATACAATTTCCCAAAAAGATAATGCAAAGTAAGTAAGTTCTAAATCTTAGTTTAAAATGTGATGGTGATAAGGATCTTTTGTTAAATATCCATATTGCACTGTCATAATGTATATCTGGTGGAATAGTGGTGGCAATGTTTGGGTTTTGTGAATTATTAATAGCTATTTTAAGAACTGCAATACAAATATTTATTCTTGGTCTGGTACAGCAGTTTTATTTAAATTATGCTTCTCTTTTGCACATTTTCTGATTTTGTCAGGCAAAATTTAGAGAAAGCAAAATTAAAATTTATTCTTACTGCAGGTGGGATTACTTCGACAGAAGTTGGACAGTCTGGAAAAATGTAATTTAGCAATGACTCAGAATTATGAAGGACAACTACAAACCCTAAAAGCTCAAGTAAGAAAACTTGTTACAATTTAGTGTTAAACATTTTGATATTTTTTCCCTCATTTTTGTGCCTATATTATAATTGTACATAATGATGGGATTTGCTATATTCATACATGCATACAATATAACAATATAATTTGGCCAGTATCACTCTGATATGTTTTTCCTATAAAAGTGTGTTAATTTTATTAAAGCTGATTGTTCGTATATTTTAATTACATGTTTAATTATATGTTTGCCCCTGTCATTGTTTATATACTGATTTTGTCTCTTTTACTAAATTGTCAGTTTTTTATACCTCTGTGTCCTTTAACTGTTAGCACAGTGCTAAACAAATAGCTTTCTAGGTCTACAGAGGCTTGTTGATTAATTAAATTAGAATTATTAGCTGTGTGAATGGGAAGCAAAAAACCAAAACTATCTTTCATGGTTATTACTACCTAATAGGGATGCCTTAAATTCTATGGAAATTTGTAATGTGGAAGCTTGCTATAATGAAATCGATAATTGGAAGAATAAAACTGGTCTTTATTACTGGTAAGGCTATTTCAAAAGTGATAGTGCTTCTTCATATGTCATGAGAGGGATACCAAATTCTTTCCTACTGTACTGGCAAGCAAAAGTCTTCTTTCCTTACCACAGTTATCACATAGGGCAGTAGTCATCTGGACATCTCAAATCTAGCAGATGCTAGCTATGTCCTTGCTTAAACTAGGAAATGAATCAATGGGAAATATGGTTTGATTATGAAATTTCATTTTATAACTAACTTTTCTTAGAGTACAAAGATTTCATATATGATAATCTTGTCAATAGAGCCCAAAGTATTTAATGCTTCTCCTTATTTGGCCATTAATACTGGAATATGAAACAATTTGATATCACTTAACTGGTATGCTCGTATCAGACTTAATCTTATATGACATTTATTAGATAATCTACCTGGAAATTTTGCCTCTAATTTAAGTAACAGCCACTAATTGTGTCCAAGTTATGAAAGTATGCATAGTTTTTCCTAGCTAAAACCCTAAGATTTAAACCTTAAGTAAACCAACTGGGTTTTTTCTATGAATATAACAACATAAACATCAAATCACTATTTGAGACTTTTGTTTCTGGAAAGATAGGCTATAAGTACTTTTCCTATCATCCTCCTGAATACAGTTAAAAACAACATAAGACTCTGAGAAGTGGGGAGAAAAGATAGATTGGTTGAAAACCCTGGGACCCAAAGAATGACACAGCAGTGAATTCCCTAGGATTTCTTTTTTCCTTATCTACTCCAGACTAGGTGATAGAGAAGCTAGCAAATTAGACACACCAGTGGGTGCAAACAAGCCTAGCAGAAGCCTGTTGTCTTTAGCCAAAAGACCAGGAAAGAGGCAACATCAAACACTCTTATACATTTACTGCTCCACTCCAGCCAAACACCACGGGTAAGACAGCCCCACCCCCACCCCCACCAATAAGTGCTGAGTGGAAAACCCAGACCTCCACCTCTCCAGGCTATAACAAAGTAGCCTGAGCCCCTTGCCTGGGAGGTGTGAGCAGACTGAGTGGGAGGCCTGGATTTTCATCACCAGCAGTCATGGCCTTCCTAAACCAATCGTGTCCCTGGAAACCATATGGAGCCTAGTCTCTACACCCACTTCATGGTAATATGGTGTCCCTCCCCGTCATTCTCATAGTATGACAAGGAACCTTGTGATCAGTTACTGCTTAGTGCTAACAAGTCCACCACCACCACTAGAGTATCACTGCACAGATGGCCATATGAGAAGCAGTAAGAAGGAACTCATGACCCTCCCTCAGCCAAAGGCTAGAGGTCCCTAAACTCTCAATCCCACTCAGCAGGAATAAGGAGCATCTCCCTCTGGGTACCAGTGGAAGTAGCTCAAGACCTGGACTTCTACTACCACCTGGCAATAACAAGGTGGTCCCTGAAGGAACATTGTCAGACTAGAATGGCTAAAACACAATATTTAAATAAAATTCAGAGTCTCATGACACAATACCCAAAATTTCCAAGTTTCAATAGAAAATGCTTCATGACAGCAAAAAACAGGAAAATCTCAACTTGAATAAGAAAACATAATCAATAGATGCCAATGTCAAGATCATACAGATGTTAGAATTATCTGGCAAGGATTTGAAAGTAGCTATTAAAAATGTTTTAATGAGCAATTACAAACAAGCTTGAAATGAATAAAAAATTAGAAGTTGTAGCAAATAAATTTAAATCTAAAAAACTAGTTAGAAATTTTATAGCTGAAAAATAAAATAATCAAACTAAAAAAATTAGTGGAGGGGTTCAAAATGTTGAAGACAAAGGGAATGGTCAGTAGGAAAGATAGGCTATAAGTACATAGGAATTACCCCCATGTGAACAGCAGAAAGACTAAAAGAAAATAAACCCTTAGGGGACATGCAATATTATGACAAAAGACTGAAAGTTTACATCATCAGAATTTCAGAAGGAGAGGAAAAGGTGGGAAAGTATTTAAAAAAAATAGTACCTGGAAAGTTCCAAATTTTCAAGAAATTGAGTGAACTTCACACAGGATAAACCCAGGGGAATCAATGGCCAGACATATCATAGTCAAAGTTCTGAAAACCATGAAAGAAAGAAACAAACCACAACAAAAAAATTGGAAGCAACAAGAGGGAAATGACACCTTAAAACAAATTCACATAATAGATCTCTCATCAGAAACCATGGAGGCCAGAAGCAAGTTGGGACAACTTATTTCAAATGCTGAAAGAGCACAGAATTGTATGCTCAGTGAAAATATCCTTCAGAAATGAAGGGAGATCAAGACATTGTCAAATGAAGGAAAACTTGGAGCATTTGTCGTTAGTAGACCTACCCTAAAAGAATGGCTTAAGGGTTTTCTCTTTGCAGAAGAAAAATAATAAATAATTCTGAAGACATCAGGAAGGGAAAACATTAGAAGAAAAAAACATAGGAAAATAACAATATACTTTTTTCTTCTTTTGAGTTTCCTATTGTTTGACTATAAAAAAATCACAGCGATGTTTAAGGTATTAATATGGAGGATATAGAGGAAACACTTAAGACAATTATATTGTAAATGGGACAGAATAAAAGAACATGATGTTTTATTATTTCATTACCCATCACTATAACAAAATACCTGAGACTGGGAATTTTATAAGTGGTTTATATAGTTCAGTTTTAGAAGCTGAAAATCTAAGATCAGGCAACCCCATTGCCCCTCTTATGGCCTCTGGTAAGGGCTCCCTTGGATGTGTCAAAACATGGTGGATGGCATCACAATGGTGGAAGTCTGCCCCTGAGAGTGATCACCTGGAAAAATAGAAAGCCAGAGAGATTCAGAAGCTAGACTTGTTCTTTTTATAACAACTCTAATAGGAATTAAGCAGGGTCCTGTAAGAACTACACTAATCCCTTCAAGGAAAGTAGCCCTAACAACCTCATCACCTTCCACTAAGCATCACTTCTTAAAGGTTCCACCATCTATCAGCATCATCAGGCTAAGAACCAATTCAGCACATGAACCTTTGGGGGACACACTCAGACCATATCCACCCCATAATGCTAGTCAATAATAAAAAGAACAAATGACAAAATTTTAAAGTGGACAAAGATAGACATTTCTCCAAAGAATGTATACAAATGAACAATATTCACATTAAAAAATGTTCAACATCATTAGTCATTAAGGAACTGTCAATCAAACTCCATCAAAAGACTTCCAGAGCAAATAAACAAATTTGGCAAAGTAGCAGATGTACAAAATTAACATGCAAAAATCATTACCTTCCCTCATTCCAAAAATAAAGCTGCCAAGAAAGAAATCAGGAAAACAATTTTATTCACAATAGCATAAAAAAAAATGAGAAATAAATCTAACCAAGGAGGTGAAAGGCCTCTAAAATGAAAACTATAGAACACTAAAGAAAGAAATGGAAGAAGACCTTTGAAGATGGAAAGATCTCCCACATTCTTGGATAGGCAGAATTAACATTTTCAAAATGGCTATGCTACCAAAAATGCTATACAGATATAATGCAATTCCTATTAAAATTCCAATGATGTTCTTCATAGATATAGAAAAAAAGTCATGAAATTCATTTGGAAAAATAAAAGACCCAGAATAGCCAAAGTAATCCTTACTAAAAAAAGTGAAGCAGGAGGCATCACAATACTAGACCTTAAATTATACTACAGAGCTTTGGTAACAAAAACGGCATGGTATTGGCACCAAAATAGACATGACACCATAGGTAAAGAATAGAAGACACAGAGACAAACCCATATAAATACAGTTATCTCACACTAGACAAAGGTGCCATAGACATACATTGTGGGAAAGATAGCCCTTTCAATAAATGGTGCTGGGGAAACTGGAAATCCATATATAATAGAATGAAATGAACACTTATCTCTCATCCTGCACAAAAGTCAACTCAAAGTGGATCAAGGACCCAGGCATTATACCAGAGACCCTACACTTATTAGAAGAAAAAGTAGGCCCAACTCTCCATTATGTTGACTTAGTAACTAACTTCCTCAATAAGACTACTAAAGCACAAGAAATAAAATCAAGAATCAATAAATAGTATGGTATCAAACTAAAAAGCTTCTTCACAGCAAAGAAAACAGGAATATGAAGAGAGAACCTACAGAATGGGAGAAAATCTTTGCCACCTGCATCTCACATGGAGAATTAATCTTTAGCATATATGAAGAACTCAAAAAACTTAATACCAAGTCAAACAATAACAACAAAAAACCCAATCAACAAATGGGCAAAGGAAGTGGACAGGTACTTCACAGAAGAAGAAACATGAATGGTCAGCAAATATATGAAAAAATGTTCAACATCTCTAGCAATTAGAGAAATGCAAACTGAAAGTACACAGATTTCATCTTACTCCAGTCAGAATGGCAATTATCAAGAATACAAGCAATAATAAATGTTGGTGATATTGTGAGGAAAAAGGTACACTTATACATTGCTGGTGGGACTGCAAATTAGTGCAAACACTTTGGAAAGCAGTGTGAAAATTCCTCAGAAAACCTGGAATGGAACCACCACTTGACCCAGCTATCCCACTCCTCCCTCTATACCCAAAGGACTTAAAATCAGCATATTTTTAGTGGTGCAGCCACATCAATGTTTATGGCAGCTCAATTCACAATAGCTAAGCTATGGAACTAAAGTAGGTATATATACCTCAGTAAAATTTTATGAGGAAAAAAAACCATTCAACAGATGAATGGATAAAGAAAATATGGTATATATACTCAGTAGAATATTATTTATTCAGGCATAAAGAAGAAAGAAATTATGGCATTTGCTGGTAAATGGATGGAACTGGAGGCTATCATGCTAAGTGAAATAAGCCAGTCCCCAAAAAACCAAAGGTCAAATATCTGATATGTGGATGCTAACCCACAACAAGGGAAAGGACAAGGAGGAAGATTAGAAGTTCATTTGATTACACAAACTTAAATGAAAAGAAGGGAGGAGGGATGGGGATTGGAAAGAGAGTAGAATGAATTGGACATAATTTTTCTACCCTTGTATATGAATACATGACCAGTGTAACTCTATGTCATGTACAACCACAAGATTGGGATCCTAATTTGGATAAGTTAAACTCCATGTATATATGTCAAAATACTCTGTACTGTCATGTATATCTAAAAAGAAGAAGAACAACAACATCAACAAAAAACACAATAAGATACCCCTTCACATGACTAGGAATAATAATAAATAATATTAATAATACAGACAATAACAAGTTTTGGTGAAATATGGAGAAATTGGAACTCTATACATTTTGAGTGAGAATGGACAATAGTGCAGCCACTTTGGAAAACAGGTTATTCCTCAAAAAGTCAAACTTAGCTTACTTTAGGAGCCAGCAATTTCACTCCTAAGTGTACACCCAAGACAAATGAAAACATATATCCACACAAGAACTTATATACCTGTGTTCATAGCAGTATTGTTCATAATATTCAAAAGTAAAAATAACTCAAATGTCCATCAATTGATGAATGGTAAACAAAATGGGGTATAGCTATGTAATAGGAATACACCTCAGTAGAATTTTATGAGGAAAAAACCCAGAAATGGTTACTTCAATATCAGAAAATATAGACATAGTTGTTTACAGTTTTATTTGTACCAGCCCCAAACTAGAAAATATATAAAAAAAAACATTCAATCTACGTGAATGGTTAAACAAACTGTTATACATTCGTATCATGGAATACTACTCAGCAATGAAAATGAAAATCTATTGAAATATACATGAATCTCAAGGACATTAAATTGAGTAAAAAAAATTCAATTTCAATAGTCATGTATTATATGATTTCATTTCATAATAGTCAAAGTAACAAATTATATAGATGGAAAACAGATTAGTAGTTGGCAGGATAAGAAATGAGGGAAATAAGTGAGACTCTAAAGGGGTACCATGAATGAGATCTTTGTGAAGATTAAATAGTTCTGTTTGGGGGTATTTTGTTTTTGTTTTCTTTGGGGGGGGGGCTCTGGAGTTTGAACTCAGAACTTTATGTGTAACCACTGATCTATACCCTTAAGTCCTAGTCCTGAATATTATTTATACTTGTGGTCTCTCAAATCCCCACATGTGATAAGTGGCATTAAATCATACACACATATTGGACCAGTTTTACCTTCCTGGGGTTGATGTTTTACTGTAGTTCAATAAGGTGTAAATATTTGGATAAACTAGGTGAAACAGTTTTTTTAAAACCAGAACCTCTCTGTAATAACTTTGTAATAACTTCCTGTGAACCTGTAATTATTTCACTAAAAAAAATAGAAATTTCCTCACAGAAGTTGATGCTGCCTATAGGAAGTATTATTTTAAATTAAATATTAGGTTTTCATGAATGAAGCATAAGCTGTTTATTTTGTAGATTGAGTTACTGAAATTAAAACTGTCAACACAAGATGGCACTAAATAAAAGTAAGAAAAAATTCATTTTTTCAAAATTGTGGGCTTTACTACATACGGTTAAAACAAATCTGAACAAAACATTTATCAAATGAATCATTGTTTAATTGTGCAGTTAATGAATTCCCAAATTTACATCAAAAATGAATCATGTTCAGCTTCAATAATTGAGTTTTAATAACTGGTTCTATCTCCACTAATTGGAACATTTAAGCTTTACTGCACTTTCAAATCATGACTTAAATTTTTGAAGAGGTACACAAGAAAAGAAATATTGTGAAATCAAGCTAGAAATAACTGTGAATAGTAAAATGTCAGTGTTTTCTATAATTTACAGTTTTCCAAACTAACAAATAGCTTTGAGAAACTGAGATTACATCAGATGAAACAAAACAAAGTTCACCGAAAAGAAATACCTCATAAAGAAGAAGTGCCCTTTGAACTGAGCAATTTAAACCAAAAATTAGAGGTAAGAGATCTTTCCTTAGTTTCTTTGTGTGTATTAGGATTGGTTTCCATGTGGCTGTGTGTAGAGTACAGAGTGGCATGTACAGCTGGGGTAACAAATCAACTCTCGTGGAATATCTGTATTTCCAGTGCACCTTCCCCTCAAGCACTTAGTGAATTAAAACATCACTTTGATTTATGTATCATTTATATAGATCAGCATTGTGGGAGAGCCAAAAAAAGAAAAAAGTTCAAAGAAACTGCAGCTGTTGAGTGAAACTGAAGGACACCCCTGGGGTCAGTTAAAGCGAATATCTAATAAATCTTTTAGTGGCCATTTAACTATTATGTACTTAAATCCAAATGAAACCTCAAAACAGTTTCAGAGCAGGGCTTGAAGTTTCAGGGTGTTTTCCTTAAAGGTAAAGCACCACTCTAATTAAGTCACCCCACATCACCCAGGACTTCTAAACTCTCAGTCACATGACATTAGCTATGTTCCCAGTGCTGCTCAATTATTTTTAATGGCCTCAAGCTGACCCTCACATTATCTCACTCAGTTTATTTCATTTTTCCCAAGTCCTAAACCTCAGCATCCCCACCCCTAGCCAATGATATCATTTTCCAACTCATTGATTGATGATAATCCCGAACCTCCCAAACATCAAGGTTAGATAACTTTGTGGAATCTCTTCCTTTTTATTTATTCTTCATACTTTAGCCCATATTTGCCCCCCTTGCCTTTCTTCCTATCTGGTTGTCATTGCCCTCTTTCATAAGCCATCATCTTACCCTTGAATTAACAATCCTTCTGCTCCAAGATCTTCTTCCCCCATATTTTTATTGGTGCATTGTAGTTGTACATACTGAAGGGATTTGTTGTTACACATTTGTATATACACTCAGTACCCATATAACAATGTTCTGGCCAATATCACCCCCAGTACTTTCCCCTTCCGTCCCCACCTTCCACCCCTTGGTCCCTTTCCACTACCCTTCTCCCTTTGATTTCCATGAGACCCCCCCATTTTTTTTTTACTTTCCCTTTCTTGCTTCTACACATGAGAGAAAACATACAACCCTTAACCTTCTGAGGTTGACTTATTTTGCTTAACATAATAATCTCTAGTTCCATTTTCCTGAAAATGACATCAGTTCATTTTTCTTTATGGCTGAATAAAATGCCATTGTGTATACATAAAACAATTTCTTTATCCATTCATCTGCTGATGGATATCTAGATTGGTTCCATAGTTTGGGTATTGTGAATTGTGCTGCTATAAACGCAGGTATGCATGTATCACTGTAGAGATACAACGACTTTAATTCTAGGATAAATACTGAGGAGTGGTACTGCTGGGTCATATGGTAGTTTGATGCTAGCCTTTTGAGGAAACTTCATACTGATTTCCATAGTGGTTTTACTAATTTATAATCCAATAACAGTGTAAAAGTGTTCCTTTTTCTCCAGATTATCTCTAGCATTTTTTATTATATGTTTTCTTGATGACTAACATTCTGACTGATGTCACATGCAATTTCAGTGTAGTTTTGATTTGAATTTCACTAATTGCTAATAATGCTGAGATTTTTCTTGTATTTGTTGGCTATTATTTGTAGTTTTTTTTGATAAGTATCTCATTTATTCATGTTGTCCATTTATTAATTGAGTTATTTGATTTTTGGTGTAAGGTTTTTTAAGTTCTTTATATCTTCTGTATATTAACCCTATGTCAGAAGAGTAGCTAGAAAAGATTTTCTCCCATTCTTTAGGTTCTCTATTCATATTCCTTATTGTTTCCTTTGCTGTGCAGAAGTTTTTGAATTTGATGCCATCCCATTTATTAACTCTTGGCATTATTTCCTGAGATTTAAGGGTCCTATTTAGAAAATGTTGCCTGTGCCTACATGCTAGAGTGTTGACTCTATGCTTTCTTCTAAGAATTGTATAGCTTCTGCTCTAATTCCTAGGTCTTTAATCCATTTTGAGTTGATTTTTATGTAGGGTGAGAGATAAGAGTCTAGTTTTATTCTTCTACATATGGATAACCTGTTTTCTCAGCACCATATGTTTAAAAGGCTGTCTTTTCTCCAATGTATGTTTTTGTCAAAGACAAGATGACTAAAGATGTGTGGGTTTGTCTCTGTGTCTCTATTCTGTACTATTGGTCTATGTGTCTATTTTTATGCCAGTACCATGCAGTTTTTGTTACTATAGCTCTGTAGGATAATTTGAAGTCAGATATTGTGATGCCTCCAACATTATCTTTTTGGCTTAGAATTGTATTGGCAATTCTGGGTCTTTTATTCTTCCAAATAAATTTTAGAACTGTTTTTTCTAGTTTTTTGAAGAATGTAATTGGTATTTTGATGAGAATTGCACTGAATCTGTATATTGTTTTTGGTAGTCTGGCCATTTTAACAATGTTAATTCTGCCTGTCTATGAACATGGTAGGTCTTCTCATCTTCTGAGGTCTTGAATTTCAATTTCATTCTTCAATGTTCTATGGTTTTTATTGTAGAGGTATTTTACCTCCTTGGTTAGATTTATTCTTGGGTTGGTTTTTGTTGGTTGGTTGGTTTGATGCTATTGTGAATGGAATTATTTTCTGGATTTCTTTCTCAGCAGCTTCATTGTTGGTAGGTAGGAAGCTAATGATTTTTACATGTTGATTTTGTAACCTGCTGTTTTTACCAAATTTGTTTATTAGCTCTAGCAGTATTTTGGTGAAGTTTTTTGATCTTCTAGATACAAGACCATATTGTCTAAAATAGTGAAATTTGACATTTTCTTTTCCTATTTTTATTCCTTTCACTTCCTTCTCTTACCTAATTGTGCTGCTAGAATTTCTAGCACTATATTAAGTAGAAGTGGTGAGAGTAAACATTCTTGTCTTGTCCTATATTTTAAAGGAAAAGCTTTCAATTTTCCCTCATTTACTATGAGGTTTGCTTTGGGTTTTTCATATGTAGCCTCTATGATGTTGAGGTAGGTTCCTTCTATCCCTAATTTCTTCAGTGTTTTTTATCATGAATGGGTGTTGAATTTTGTCAAAGGCTTTCTTTGTATTTATTGAGATGACTAAGTGATTTTTTTGTCCTAAATTCTATTTATGTGATTAATTACATTTATTAATTTGCATTTATTATACCATTCTTACATCTCTGGAATAAAACCAACTTGGCCGTGGTATGTAATCTTCTTAATATGTTGTTGCTAATATTTTATTAAGTACTTTTTTCATCTAAGTTTATCAGGGATATTGGTCTATAATTTTCTTGATGTCCTTATCTGGTTTGGTATGAGTGTGATATTGGCTTCAGAGAATGAATCTGGAAGTGTTCCATCCTTTTCTATTTCATAGAATAATTTGAGGAGTATTGGCACCATTTCTTTAAAAGTTTGGAAGCATTCAGCTGAGAATCCATCTGATCTGGGGATTTTCTGTGTTGGAAAGCTTTTTATTGCTGCTTCTACCTCATTATTAGTTATTGGTCTGTTTAGGTTTCTATGTCATCTTGATTCAGTTTTGGCAGATCAGATTTGTCTAGAAATGTATACATTTCCTCTAGGTGTTCCAGTTTATTGGAATATAAATTTTCAAAATATTCCCTAGGGTCCCACTAGATTTCTGTGATATCTGTGGTGATTTCTCATTTTTATCTCTAATTTTATTAATTTGGGTTTTCTAATTTTATTAATTTGGGTTTTATGCACTCATAGCTATAAACCTGCCTCTTAAAACTGTGTTCATAGTGTCCCAGAGGTTCTGGTATGTTGTATCACTATTCTCCTTTTAGTCAAAGAATTGTTAAATTTCTCCCTTGATTTATTCTAGCACTCATTTATCATTCAAAAGTGTATTGTTCACAAAAAACAATAAATGTAGGCAAGGATGTGGGGGAAAAGGTACACTCATACATTGCTGGTGGGACTGCAAATGGTGCAACCACTTTTGGAAAGTAGTATGGAGATTCCTCAGATAACTTGAAATAGAATCACCATTTGACCCAGTTATCCCACTACTTGGCTTATACCCAAAGGATTTAAAATCAGCATACTATAATGATGCAGCCACATCAGTGTTTATAGCAGCTAAATTCACAATAGCCAAGCTATGGAACCAAAGTAGATGCCCCTCAACAGATGAATGTGTAAAGAAAATATGGTATATACACAATGGAATATTACTCAGGCATAAAGGAAGAATGAAATTGTGGAATTTGCTGGTAAATGGAGACTATCATTCTAAGTGAAATAAGGCTATCCAAAAAAAACAAAGGCCGAATGTTCTCTGACACACAATAAGGGGCAAGGCGGGGAAGAATACAAGTTTGTTGGATTAGACAAAAGGGAATGAAGGGAAGGGAAGAGGGATGAAAATAGGAAAGACAGAATAAGTCATGTCCATAACTTTCTTATGTTCATTTATTAATAATACATGACCAGTTAAACCCCATATCATGTATAATCATAAGAATGAGATCCTAATTAGAATAAGTTATCCTCCATGTATGTATATGTCAAAATATATTCCATTCTCATGTATATCTAAAAAGAATAATTTTTTAAAGTAGGGTTTTGTCATGTTAATTACCTAAAATATGTTGTATTTTGGTTAGTTTGGCTAAAGTTTGGCAAAGGTACCATGAGTCACTGAGAAGAATGTGTATTCAACTGTTTTGGGATGAAATAGTCTAAAGATTTCTCTTAGATCCCATTTGATTTATAATATTTTCCAGTCCAAAGAGTATTTATTGAGTGTATGTCTGGATGACTTATGTAATGGTGAAAGAGGTGTGTTGAAATCACCCAGTATTATTGTACTTGGGTCTATTGAGGCTTCGATTGGAGTAGTTTCTCTTATATGTAATTACTTGCACCCTTCTTTGTCTCTTCTGATTAATTTTGGTTTGAAGTCTGCTTTTTCAGATATGAGAGTAGCTATTCCTGCTTGTTTTCATGTTCTAATCACATTGTAAATCAATTTCTATCCATTCAGCCTACATGCAAACAACAT